AAAAAAAAAAAAATAGATAAAACAAGGGCTGCCAAAGTGTCATCTCCAACTAGAAGCATCAGTTGCAGCTCTCCTGGGAACTTAAGAAATGCAGGGCCCAGGATTATGTTTTAACAAACCCTAAAATCTAAGAAATTTTGAGATAAAATAAAGGAGCCCAGTAAGATGATGAATAAAAGGTGTTACTGACACTCTCCAAGAGAGTACATTCAGTGGAGCAGTGAGGGCAAAGCCATGCTCCTTCCTGTTTGGAAATGTTTGGGGTATAATTCTCCTTCCAAAAATGCTTGGCTAAAAAGGAAAAGGCAAATTCTAAATTTTTTTTTTAACTTTTTCCTGATACAAGAGTCTTTGCTTGGCTATTTGTGATGCTTTGGATTTTATTGTCTATTTTTATTCTTACTTCTTTCTCATTGGATAACTGTCCAACTTCATTTTGGTTATTTTTTTGGGGGGTGTCCCTTTATAGGAAATAGGAATTAACTGTAAAAGGAAGACAGTTACAAAATTATTCCCTGCACTAAGCCAGGAAGCCAATTGTCTTTTTTTTTTTTTTTAGGTTTCTATCCAATATAATTTTGCCATATCATTTAAAGAACAATCTTTGACAATTTTTTCTTTCATTTATTACATTCATGGGATTCCTTGCAGTATAAATTCATGAATGCTGAATGAGTTTCTGCATTACTGAAAGTAATCCTGCACTTCCTTTTTCAGAACTTTTTGAGTATGACGTCTTTGATGTCTACATAGGTTTGAATTCCTATTGAAAGATAGCTTACATTCCTTACATTTGAATGGTTTATCTCCTGTATGAATCATTTGATGTCGAATAAGGGAGGAGCTCCGGTTAAAGGACTTTCCACAGTCAACACATTCATAGAAATTATCTCCAGAATGGAGTCTTTTCTTACCATTGTCTTCGCTCTGCCTGAGGGCTATTTCACATTTACTGTCTTTAAGTGACTTTTCTTTAGTATGAATTTTTTGATGCTTAATAAGGTTTGTACATCGGTTGAAGAATTTCCCACATTCACTGCACTTATAGGGTTTCTCCCCCGTGTGAATTATCTGATGTCGAGTAAGGGATGACCTTCTGCTGAAGGCTTTTCCACACTGATAACATTCATAGGAATTCATCGTAGTATGACTTTTTTGGTGTCGAATAATATCTGTACTCAGGTTCAAGGCATTCCCACATTCATCATACTCTGAATGTGGCTTATCTACTGAATTAAATCCAAGGTTAGTTTCAAACTTATCACACTTTGGGGACCCCTTTCTTATAGGAATTCCTTGTTGTATGTCATAAATTGAGTTAACTGAGTTAACATCAAAGCTTTTCTTGTTCTCACTACATTCAAAGTCTCCCTCCTCAGTGTAGGTTGTTGTATTAATAAAAGCTTCTGGTGACAAATTTATATCCTGTTTTTTCTGGTTCCTATATAACCAATCTTCACTTTTCCAGACATCTAAGGGAAGATGTTCACTTTCAATAAGCCTTGTCGTAATCACTTCATGGGATGATTCTTCCCTAGAAACACTCTGCTCTGGAATTGAATCTTGGTTTTCTGGAATAGTCTTCATGTCAAAAACAGCTGTTCTTGGGATTTCTTCCTCCATTATCCATCTTTTTATTTTATTCTCCAACTTGGGTATCTCAGCTGGTTTGGCAAGTAGATGCGCTTTATGCAATGAATTCAGGTTCTTATAGTTCTCCAGCATCACATCCCTGTACATTTTCTTTACAGCAGAGTCTAGATGCCCCCACTCTTCTTCGCTGAACTCCACAATCACATCTTTGAATGTCACTGGTTCCTGGAGTGAGTCAGCTTCCTGTTTCTCCTCCTGTACACTCCCGTTTTGGAGGACAGAGTCCTTGCAGAATGCATCTGCGAGCGCGACTCCTGGCCAGGGCTCAGTTCAGTCACGCTCTGGTGCCAATTCGGAGAGGAGCCGCGGAAATCGCTGTCCTGGGGCGTAAAGCTGGC